GTACTATTTTTTTCTGTGCTGCCAGTCATGGAACCAGAAAACCTATTAAATTCAAATGGCGAATTCACCTGAATCCATTAGTAGACAAAGAATATTCATATACGACGAACAATATCTCAAAACAGTGTCTATGAGCAAACTCTAAGAACTGAGGTTTTGGTAACAGCTTCTTCCTCATAAAAAACGATTTCATTTTCAGGCCATTATCATCGGATAAGGTGAGCTTGGAGGCCAATTAAAATGCGAACATAAGGTAAATTTAAAAGCTTGCAGTTCCGGCTATAAAATCGAGACTCCTTGCGAAGAGACGAGTTTTTCAGCTGCGATAAACCTCTAACCGAATGACAAAAAGTTAATTACCAGATGATTGTAATATTACTATCTACTATTGTAAAATTCAATTTTCCCTCAAAGTTTCGATGCCTAGACTGCCATATTATTACAAAGAAGCCGTTGAACATCGGCGAAGATATTATCTCTGAATCATGCAGCATTTCCCAGTACCGAACTAAGTACCAGCATTATAAAAGTCTGCAAATCAGATTTACGTAACAGATTCTCTACAAGCCTCATTAGGCACCTCATACAGATGCACCCTCGCGAGCTCCGTGATGACCAGAAAAGGGACAAAATAAAGTAACAGAAGAAACCTTACCTGAAGAATTGCAACATCTCGAACATCACGTTTACTCTAGACATTTCATGCGTCTCAAAAATAAAACGCGTGTGCGATCATCACCATGAGGAGCAGGAAGTCTCTGGTTGGTGATACCCGCTGTGCTCATAGTTATAAGACACTTACGCTATAAAGAACCGGTTACTGCAATGTAAAGTAAATAATCCTTTCAGAAGCGAATCTGCCTCTACCTTGTTCCCCTCATAGTCTGACGTATTTTGATTCGATTCCCAATTAAAAGCATGCGGACGGGAATAAATGGTTTCTGCTCAGTCAGTCTGTCAAACATGGCCAAACACTATTTCTTAATCTCAAAGTCCATGAAGATCAGATATGTCTGTAAGAGAAATGAATCGCTGCGTACGCGGTCCCGTCATTTAATCCTCTCAGTCAATGACATCATCAGCATTAAATATGATGATCGCCCTCGCATCCAGTGCTTCTGGTAGCCTGTGAAAAATTTGGAATGAGAAAGAGGTTTCCCCTTCCACAAAAACTAGTCTTGTACCTTGTCTAGTCAGGTCAGTTTTGTTTCACTACATCGAAACAATGGTTCTAATGAAGGAGTAAGAAAAACTATTGAACTACATGCACCAGCGTCCACCTCGATGCATAATGATTGCTATATCGCAGGAAAACGAAAAGAGCCCCTCTGAACTAGCTAACCAGAAATGAAGCATACTAATTCTAGGATGTCTAATTTGATGCAACATCACCCTCATTTAGCAGGATGCGTGTTTTATTCGACAATGCCTTCACTGGAGCACATGACTAACAGGGTCGACGATGAACTGTAACGATGAAACATTAAATCCAGTGACCAACTTTAAAATTATTAAAACTAAAAAATACCCCTACTATAATCTATTCCTCTACTTCGTACTTCTAAAACCGAAATTCTATTCGTACCTTTGCTTCACTGGTCACCACTGGTTTGTTCGGAAAATTAACTTCCGTCGCCCTCAAAATTGTATTTTCTTCCAGAATCTTTGCCTGTGATTGATCATGTCCAAAAGGCTAAATCAAAACATTTAAATATTATGACCAAG